TGTGTGTGTGTGTGTGTGTGTGTGTGTGTGTGTGTGTAGAGGACAGAAATGCAGGTGGGTGGAGGTGTGTGTGTTATGTGCATGGGTGGCTATCTGTACCTGTTTACGAATGAGCAGTACGTGCATGGGACGAGCACATGTGTATGTGTTCTCTGGGTGGAAATATATGTGTAGAGAATACATGTGTGCTGAGGTAGATGTGCGTAAGTGGGAGCATGGGGAATGTGATATGTATGGACATGTCTACTCGATAGAGATGTATAAGCAAATGCACACGGAGATCATAGGCAAGTATCCATGAAATTGCAGTCAGATTTGGTCAGACCCCAGGAAAATGCTTAAGCTATTCCCCTACCTGGAATGCCCTGCCCACTTCCTCCCTGCCTCTCCAAATCCTGTTGGTGTTTTTCAGTTACTCCGTTCGGGGTTTCCTTGGCAAAGTTACTGGAGGGGTTTGCCATTTCCTTCTCCAGCTCATTTTACAGATGAGGAAACTAAGGCAAGCAGGGTTAAGTGACTTGCCCAGGGTCACCCAGCTGGTAAATGTCTGAGGTCAGATTTGAACTCATGAAGAGGAGTCTTCCTGATTCCAAGCCCAATGCTCTATCCACTGTGCCTACCAAATCCTAGCCATCCATTAAAAACAACCATCACCTCGTTAAGGTGGTGCCACCATATCCCCTTAAAACCTGATAGAGACAGCCCAGGACTCTGAACCCAAGACCTTTAGGAACAGCAATGCTTTCAGCCTAGGGTCCTCAGACATTGTCCTGGGAAACCATCCCTGTGAAGAAGTAGCCTGGCCACTGTAGTTACTACTATAGCTACTAAAAATTCGGAAAGGAAACTTCTTGTCACCAAAGTCCCTGGCACAGTCAAATGGTTCAGCTTGAGAAACTGACATGATTTTATCACTGGAAATGACATTAAAGAAGAGAAATGAACATCTGCTTTGTGCTGTACCCTAAGATCCATGGGACCTTTCTATCCGACTTGCAGCTAAAACCTTCCATACGTATTGCTTCTCCCATAGGAATGTGAGTGCCTTGGGAACAAGGTCTGTCCTAATTTCTTTTTGTATCTCCAGCACTTACCACAGTGCCTTGCACATAGCAAGAGCTTAATAAATGCTTCATTCATTCATTCATTCATTCAGGCTCAGCTCAAGTTTGCCCTGATTCAGGCAGTCTCATCCCTGCTAATTTCTCTTTCCTCTAATCTGTTGAACTCATAGTCTGAGCCACACAATCTGTTGCTGTTTTTCAGTCGCATCCCACTCTTCGTGACCCCATTTGGGGTTTTATTGGCAAAGATACTTGGCAAAAATACTTGACATTTCTTCTCTAGCTCATTTTACAGATGAGGAACCTGAGGCAAACAGGATTAAGTGACTTGCCCAGGGTCATACAACTAGTAGGTGTCTGAGGCTGGATTTGAACTCACAAAGATGAGTGTCTCTGACTCCAGGCCCAGCACTCTATCCATTTTACCACCTAGCTGCCCTACCACACAATCTAGCATTTAATAATATGTCATCTTAAATAGTTCTCTCATTTGTAAGCCTCTTGAGGTCAGGGAATATGTCTTTTAGTTCTCTTATCCCCTGCTGCATCTCAACAGAGAGGAGACATCCAATGGAGATTTGGTGAAACCATCTCAATAACATCAGCTTGCCAGAGGGAAAAACATAAAAAATCCATTGGTACTACCGGAGGTTTGTAGAGATGGGTTCAAGAGCAGAGCTTTCCTTCCTGAGGTCCTCTCTCACAGAACTTCACCAAAGACTTGAGCCACTTAGCAGTTTCCGGCCCACCCACCCCCTCTTACTTCAATGTACCCCTTCTCACCCCACATTGTGAGGCTCGGGGCAAGGTGACAACAACTACTAGCATTTATATAGCATATAAGGTTCGCAAAGCACTCTACAAATGTTACCTCACTTGATCCCTGACCCATAACCATGAAAACTATCACTGTCTGTGAACCATGCCAGAAATTGCACATGGAGACAGTACAAGGAACACCCCTGCACAGGGACATCAGAAACAGATACGCAACACCCAGGGAATGAGGTGAAAGGATAATTGATGAAGACAGGGGCATTTCTCCAAAGAAAAGGATATTTCACCACTGCACAAAGTGTGCAAGGATGACTCTCAGTTTGTCCTTGTTCTGTCCTGGAGGAATAAGATGAAAGAATCTTCTCTTTCCTGGAGGATCATAGCCCAGGGAGAAGATAGGCAACAATTCTCAAAGCCAATCTGATAGCCTCATACTACCTTCTCCAAAGCAAAGAAAATGGGAAGAATAAGACAGAAAAAATGACAAAGCAGGAGACAAAAAAGAGATGTGGTATACCTTTGAGGGGTAGGGTCATATAATGAAAAATACCCTGTTCTTAATCAACAGACCTGGGTTCTAATCCTGGCTCTGCCATTTCTAAGCTGTGACCACGGTCAAGTCACTTTGCCTCTACAATCCTCATTTTCCTCAGATGTAAAATGGGGATAATATTTGTATTATCTTCCTCAAGAGGCAGCATGGTATAGTGGATAGAGAACTGGCCTTGGAATCAGGAAGACGTGCATTGAACCCTGCCTCTCTTGCATACTGATCATGTGATCCCAAGAAAGACACAACCTCTTGATGCTTTTAGGAAATTTTCTAATCCTATAAACTGATATAGGGTATTACCTAGAGTACATATTCCCTTTACTATTGTGATTGCAAATTCCTTTGTAATTTACAGTCTGAGAGGTTAAGTTACTTGTCCAGGATCATATAGATGCTTTGCATCAGAGATATCACTTGAACATGAGTCTTCTTAAATAGTCCTCAAAACAGGGTCAAGGGAAAGTGAGGTTCCCAAAGAGCTTCTAGACTCAAGAGACCATGTTCCTGTTTGGGATGAGCTGTATTCATTATCAAAATATAACAGGGTACTAGATTAATTAGAACCTCTGCCTTTTCCAGTTCCCCATTCCTAAACCGGGTTGGAGGGTTAGGGGGTGGGAAGTAAGGTCGATCTTCTGGCATAAGATCATTTTACCTGCAATAGAGACAAAAGTGCCTATTTTGGAGAAGGTAGTTGTCGAGTAAAAAGGGGTGGAGTGGGAAACAAGAACCCAAAGTGCTGTCTAGCCATATCACTACCCAGGGAGAAGATGGGCAACAACTCTCAAAGCCAATCTGATAGCCTCATACTACCTTCTCCAAAGCAAAGAAAATGGGAAGACTAAGACAGAAAAAATGATAAATGATAAAATGATAAATGATAAAAAATGATAAATGATAAAAAAAATCTTTAGATTTTGACAGAAGGAAATGGGGGAGCACCTATGTGTGCCTTTCTGGCTATCAACTATCCACCATTAGAAGAAGCTCAAGTCAAGAAGGGATAGGACATAAGCTCATCACCAGTCCTCCTTCCCCCACAAGCCAGAAGCCGGACTGCCTCTCACGACAAAGTGAACTGCTCTTGCCCTATTTCGGGAATAGCATGGCGCAGAAGCTATATTTGAAAACCGAGGTAAACAAGATCTCAGCACAAGTGGATGGAGCACAACAGCTGTCTAAGATTAATTGCACACACAAAGAGTCATCCGGACACCAGTGGCTCACAGGCTTTCCCTTTCATCTTCAAGGGTAGCCCCTGGATCTTCTGTTATTTCTTGACCACCTACGAGGAATCCCGGTCCCAGTGCAGAGCTGCTGCCTGGGGTCCTATAAATCGCACTAGGACTATTTTAATTTCCCTCTGTCCCCTTTCTCTTCCCATCAGTAAATCGCACGATTCTTCCGTGGCTCTCTACACATCCATCACCCTCGAACACCTTCACGTGTTTGTTTTTTAATCATCAGAAGCGTGTGTATTGGGTGAAGGGAGGGAGGAAGGGAGGGGAGAAATTTATAGCACTGCATTAAAGACATTTGTTCTCTTTAACGTGCCCGCCCCCTTCACCCCTCCCCCTAGCTTTACACATACACACCCAGACACACACATTCACACTCATACTCACACATACTCACACTCGTAAATATACATAACGGGAAGAGGAAAAGCTGCCTTTCCTCTGGTGCAGCCGCTTTTCCCACAGCTTTCAGGTGCTGGGCTTCTGGGGTTCCGGTAGGGCAGCCCCAAACGGTCAACCCCGGGTCCGGAATGGGGGACCCAGTACTCGCGCTGCTTTTGGCAAAGAACCCGGGCGGGGCAGGAAGAGGGTATGTACGGTTGGGTTTTATTCCTTCGTTTCCCCCCCTCGCCCGCCCCACTTCTCTCTTCCCCATCTCCCCCTCCTCCTGTCCTCCACCGCACTCCCCGAAACCCTCCCTGACCACCATCAGAGTGGTAGCCAAAAGCGGGCCGAGGCCCCACCAGATCTTCCCAGTCTAAGTGCTCCTCCTTCGCTCCCCGTTCCCCAAATCCGCACACATTCTCTCTATTCCCCTAGAATGTGCCCCCCCCATCTCTCCACTGCTGGACTGGGCACTCGGGGGTTGCAGGGGCCACTGGCTAAGCATATGTGTGTGTGTGTGTGTATGTGTGCGCGCGCACAGACACACAACACAACACACTCTCAGACTCAAACGAGGGCACACACTCGCGCAGACACACCACCCATGACACGCTCACAGACAACACACCATACATATGTTACACTCCCAGCCACACACACCCTTCCCAAACCCACAAACATAGCATACACATAAAACATAATCTCTGAGGCACACCACACCTCTACACACACACACACACACACACACACACACACACACACACACACGAGCAACTTGAATAATTACACTTCATAAAGATAATGTACCCTAGGGCCAAGACTGGACACCCTCAGCCCTCTGCCTTCCCGAGCTCCCCATTTCTAAACCGGGGCGTTGGGGGGCGGGGAGCAGGGACGATCTTCTACTCACCTTTGGCGACGGCCTCTATGCCTCGGTCCTAGCTGGGGGGATTGGGGGAGGGGTCCGGGAAGGGGCGGTGGTGGGGGGCTCGGTGAGGAAGGTGCGTGATCCCCCCACCACAGGGCCTCCAGGTTCACAGGCAGCTCATCGCTCCCGCTGGCCGGCCGCAGACGACGAACCGAGTCCTGGGCATATCAGTCCCGCTAGCCGCGCGCGCCCACTGTGGCTCCGCAGCTGTCAGGGAGCCGAGGGGCAGCGCATCTGGAGAGGGAGGCTGGGACGGGAGGGGGTCAGGGTCTGGATCGGGGGAGCTCAGGGTCTGGATCGGGGGAGCTCAGGGTTCGTCTCAGCACTCGGACTTTTTGTTTGAAATGCGACAACTACCAAAAACCCAGCCACCCCCCAAACCGAAGCACCGACTCTGCCCAAGGGCTCCCTCCGGGAGAGCCTGAGCCCGGGAAGGAGGGAGGAAACGGCGCAGGCGGGGATCACGCCGGCTAGGGAGGCGAGGAGGAGGGTGATCGATAGGGAGCGACCTGAAGGTCTGGAGGGCCCCCTCAGACCGCAGTCACGTCGGCCGGGCTTCCCCCGGTCTGTGGCTCGCCCGCTCCCTCTCTCACACCATCACCGCGGGAGATTTCCCAGCATCTCGGCGCAAGAGGCGAACGGAATGAACTGCTCGTCTGGTTTCTGGGCGAGAGAGAGAATCTTGCCCATTAAGCTGCAGCAAGAAGCCAAATCCAAAAGCCAATCTCCAAGCCTCCAAACCACACGTCACCCTATCAGCTGGGAGCGAGAACTGCAACAGTATGACAAGCCTTGCATATTTATTCCTGAGCCGTGGGGGCATTTTCAGATTGCTTGGGCTCCAGTGGCAGGAGAGCCAGGGACAGACTCCCTGGTCCAGAAAACACAAATGTATCCAATTTAAATTTGCCACCCCCCACCCCCTATACACACACACACACACACACGCGGCGCGCGCACCCACACACCTTTAAAACACACAGCAGCAAGGCACCAGAAACTAGCCTGGCCCACCAGAGTTCTTCTAGCAGAAGGGGAAATAGCCAAGTAGCCTGACCTGAATTTCGCCTTGGGCTCTTCTCAAGAGTGAGCCAGGAGGGAGGGGATCCGCGGGGCAGGCGGGGGGGGGGGGGGGGGGGGGGATGGATGGTTGCTGAGGGGAGGGGAAAGTGGCTGGGAATGCAGAAGAGGCTTGCCCCCTGTCATTGAAGTAGCCTCCTGCAATTTCGAAATTGAAGTCTGTGCCAAACACATCTGTGGGGTTTAAATATAACAGGGAACCCTTACTCTGTCAGGGACCGCCCTGGTCCTTCCTTGAGGGAAAACTGTAACTCTTCTCTCTTTTCCCTCTCCTCTCTTCTCTTTCTAGCTTAACAGAATCCAGCCTTTCATCTTCTTAACCAAAACCAAATAACAACTTGGGAGGGAGCTGTGGTGAGGGATGGTACATATATATTTTTTAATGTTGAAAGCCAGAAAGAAAAAAAGAGGCTGACTCCCAACTTGCCGTTTGGTTTGGGGTCTGAAGACAGAAGGGAGATGGCCCTTTGGCGCCTGGCTGGGGTTTAGGGCTTGGCTCTGGGAACAAGCTGGACACATGTAGTCTTGGATTCGATGCCTTTAATTTTTTTTATATTTGTCGATCTTAGCCTTAATGGTTGGGGGGGGGGGATGTGTCTCTGCAAGGATATGCATTATCTACTTTATAGTTCTATCAAATTATTGCATTCCCACAGTATTCTGTTTTCCAGATGCACAGACACAATGAGATTACACATAGATCTCGAGTTGTAAGAGAGTTCAGAAGTCATTTAGTCCAGCTTCCTCATTTTGTAAATGAAACTGACACTTGGGGAGGTTAAATGATTTGACCAACTTCATATAGGTTATGAAAGTAGCCGTTCTAACTCCGGTCCTGTGAATAGGGACCCAGCTGTATTCCACCTCATTCAGGCTGCCCAGGATCTGAAGAGAATGCAGTTCCGCCCAAGACTCCATTCTCTTGAAGCCAGGTCACAGTAAGGGAAAGACTGAATATGAAATCTCCTGGTTGCCAGAGGGAATGGATAAGTAAAGGTGGTTTCATAATAGTAGGTGACCACTGTGGTTTACCCAAAGCCTTGGGCTAGATAATGGGAATTCTTTCCCCGGTTCTACTTTGTATTTCCCATTCTTTTATTCAGCATTACCTTGAGCAATGGACTGGGAATCTGGAGACCTGAGTTCAGATCCAACCTCTGCCACTACTTAGCTAAATGATCTTGAGCAAATTCCTTACCTTCTTCTGGACTTCAGCCCTCTCCAATCCTATTCCTTGTCACAGCTTCTTGAGGGCAGGAACTAATTGGGGTGGGGGGGATTGTACTTGCATCCTCAGTCACAAGTCATTTAATGTCATGCTCCAAGAGCTCTTTAGGACTATTAGGGATCCCTCCTCACCCCGCCCCCAACACCCCCATATAAGGTATGTTGAAATTACGGAGGAAACAGGAAGACTAGTCATAGGAGCACGTTCTAGTTTCCAGAAATTGTTGGTTTGACAGCAATGCTTCTGGGCCCAATTAATTTCTATTGGGAGTGAGGGTCATGCCATTTAATCATAGTAGCAGCTGCACCTAGTGCCCAGTCCTAAAACCCCATCAGCTGTTTCTAGCCAGTAGAGGGGTGGGTTTTAGCTCGTAACTAAAAAGAGCTATTGGAAAAAAAAAAAAAACCAAAAAACTTGAGGGCAGATGGCAGCCCATTGTTTCCCAATAGCCTTGGAGGATTAGACTCAATAACACCAAAGTTCCCTTCCAGCTCTTAGAGACTGTGATTTTATGAAATCAGAGACAGTTTCTCCTTTGCGACTATTTTCCAGCACCTTCTGTTTCTAGGATTTCCAGAAAGCAGAAAGGGGTTGGTGGGTAAAGGGAGAGGAGATGTCTCTCCACTTCCAGGGACAATAATGGTTTATAGAGTGAGCAGATAGCTGGGCAGGAGACACAGGCACATGTGCTTTGGAGGGTCTGAGACTGAACCTCAAGTCCTTGGATGCCTCCTGCTTCCTAATTCCTTCGCTGAACACAGGTCAGCAATTCGTGATCTTGAGAAATGGACGTTTCCAAACTTCGTGGTAACCTTGTGGGTCAAAGAATTTCTGAGTCCCTGATTTGAACATCGGCCAACAAGAGGGTGATTTCTGCAACAGCACACTTCTCAGAGGAAATGACCAACAACAGCATTATCCCATAGGTGGGGGACTAAAGAAAGCCATTGCTGGCCAGAAGATTTGGATTTTGTGAGCTCCTTAGACAGTGTAGATATAAGGTGAACGTAAAATATCTGCTCAGGGGCAGCTAAGTGGCACAGTGAATACAGCTCTGGCCTTGGAGTCAGGAGAACCTGCGTTCAAATCCAGCCTCAGACACTTAACACTTATTAGCTGTGTGACCCTGAGCAAGTCACTTAATCTCGATAGCCTCACCAAAAAGCAAAAATAAAAAATAAAAAAATAAAATATCTGTTCAGCAGTCCTAAAAATTACCTTTATCTTGTTGGGGGCCAGGAGGGGGACCAGGAGTGGTCCAGTACAATGAACATTATGGGTTGTTGTGGGTTTTTTTATGTTTTCTGATTTTCTGTGTGTGCTTTTGAGACCATCATGTCTTAAGAACTTTCTGTGAGAGAGGAAGAAGAAAGAGGAGGAGGAGAAGAAAAAGAAGGAAGAAGAGGAGGAGGGAGAAGGAAGGAAGGAAGGAAAAAAGGAAGAGAGAGAGGTTGGTTAGTTAAATAATGTAGAACAGCAAGATATAGTGGAGAAAGATTAAGAGTTAAGAAGACTGGGTTTCAGTCAAAACTCTTACCAACAACTAGTTGTGTGACCTTGGATAAGTCACTTCACTCTTTGGGACTTTTTAGCTCAGAAATGTTATTACAAAGAAATAGAAGAAAGGAATGAGCACTAGAATGCTTGGGTTCTTATTTAGTGGATAAATTAAAGTAACCTTACATACCTGACATGATCAGGGAGGGGGGTCCTAGTTAATTAAACATTTTAGCTACCAAAAAGATCCCAACATTCCTTAATAATTCTATTAAACAAAGAGAAGGCATTTCAAATACACATATCACATCTCATATATTCTTTTCTGTGTACTCTAAACTTCAACCAAACAATACTCACTCTCTCTGCCCACCCTCACCTCTGAAACACGACTTGTGCTCTTTTACCTGGCCCTTTGCTGAAACCTGATTCAAATTTGCCCTCCTCTATGAGGCTTCCCCTTCCTTGATCCGCACCCTGCAAGTTGGTAATGACTTTCCCCTTCATAACTCTCACAGCACTTTTGTTTCATAGCTATCTGATACATTTGTTATGCTACTGGTTGGTATCACATTCCCCTTTTAGACTATAAGCTCCATGAGGACAGGAATCATGTTTTATCTAAACTTTGCCTCTCTCCCAGCAGCGTTCTGCTCGAAGCATGCTATTAATAAATATTTGATGATTTTTAAAAATCAGAAACTCATACAAGGTTGCATAAGAATGAATTTCCGAATATCAGATAAGATAGATTATGATAACCAAACAAATACCAACTAAATATTATTAAATGTCTCGAGGAGTCTGAGGGATAAGGCCTGATGGGCAGCTTTACTGGGCTTCAGGTCCCATAAAAGGCTAGTAGGAAGGAAAACAAACAGGCCTTAATCCCTCGGGGGTCACAACCTTCTGATTCGAGAAGTATGTAAAAATGACCCCCTTGGATGACCCCAGTACTAGAGAAGAATACTGCCTAATTTTGAACTTCCTCTCTGTTGTCTGACTTCTCTTCAGTTGCTAGCTTGCTCTTACTTAAGGGTTAACTACTTAATTAATATTGATGTTAAATAATTATATAGCTAACAGGTGAATAGGTGGGTGTATGAGTGTCAGACATCACATGTGTGACTGACAGACTGCACAAAGACAGCTGTGCATTCTCTTGATTCATCTGCAAGAGTGTGGTACTCTTGTCTAATGGTGCCCTAGGGCAACATCAACTCATGTAACCTCACACAACTGCTCCCTCAGGTGTGTGTATCTGGCCCCTCCTTCAGTGACCACCTTCATTTTGGTCCTAGCAAGACAAAGTACCCTAAGAAAATGGATGTTGTCATATCTTTTGTCCTTTCAAAAAATGGCAGCCAATCGGTGACATCCATTCCTGCCTCTAAGAACACTCCCTCCTGGATGTTTAGATGATCTCCATGGAGTGACGACCTACCATGTGCACAAAGTTGATTCATCTTTCTTCAATGCTTGGCTGCCGACGCTGAATAGGAACTCTGAGAGACAGCAGTAAAAAGGCCCACCAAGGGTAGTGACATAGATGAAACTCATAGAAGCACAAAGTCATGAGCAATTGTTCCACCTGGACAGGTGGGGTGATAACCACTGCACAGTAATTATTCTATTAACAAATACTACTGAGATATAAACCATAAGAGTCTATCAGAAAAAAAAAATCTGGACTTACCCTGTTTTGTGACTAGGTAGAGCTAGGTAGTGGCAACTCCAAGGGACCTATGGGGCCAAGTTAGTATGAGTTGACCTGAGAGATGGGACTGATCCAGGGAGTCATTATACTTGTTAACAAAGCTGTTCTTCCCTCTTCTGGTTAGCCAGTTGTATTTGCTTTTGTTTTGTATCTGTTGCTTTCTGTTTAAATCTCATTTCCCTACTATAAAACCCTTTTGGCAATACAGAAATGATATACATAAACCACATATGTATTTGGTTTCAACCTTGCAAACAAGGAAGATAAAAGAGAGGGCATTCCCTAATCTAGGGGAGAAAACTTTGAAAGGTTTGGTCAGCAGGAACTATTAGAACAGAGTAGAAGAATATTACTGGCCTGTATAAGCTTGTCATAGGAATTTGGGTTTTAGCTACTCCTAGAAATAAATCATGCACCACTGAGAACAGCAGGTTGGG